GAAGTTGCTTTCGCTAATATAAAATTGTAGAAAGGGGGAAAGGGGGTGGGGTCATTGACATCTTCAAATCTTTATGCAGTTATATAGGATCCTAAAGCCAGCTTCATGGACGATTCTTCACAATTATTATGAAGGTACGTTAGCCGAAGATAGTAGAGGAACACATCATCCATGATGAGGAATAATATAGAGAAATTTTGTTGGAGAGAAAATTTGTCAAATAAGTTCAAATAACTTGGACAATATGTTTCCATTTGATTCAATTCGGGGCCAACCATGGCTTCTTATTTTTATAATCTTTCCATTGATGTATTCAAAGAAAAAAATTGAATATTTAATCGGTTTTTGTAAGGTTTTAAGTTTATTCTAAGAAAATTGAATATTAATTTTATGAATAAATCCTTTTTTTTTCAAAAAAATTAGAACCGTAATTAACTAGGATTTCTTGGTATTCCACTATAAAAATTATTTATTGACCATAACCATTCCCGCTTGTAAGCTTTGGGAACTTAACAATATGATACTTGATGTTGGCCTCATTTATTTAATTGGTCTTCATTTCTTCTGGTTTAACAAAGGGATCCATAACCTAATTTACGTAAAGCTTTATAGGGACCTTATTAATAAAGCCTATATTAATCATTTCCCCTTATCATACTATAAAATAGAAAGCTCTAGATGCTTAGGCCACTCCCCTCTTATTATTCCTTCGTCATTTATTTCTTAGGTTGAAGCTTGCACTAAAAATGTGCATTTTTCTCTATGTAATAATGGAAACCTTGAGAGCTTCGTCAAGTCTTCTTTTGCAATTAAGTATGGATATCCAATATCCCTTACTTAATTATCATAATTATGATTGGGCTTTCAAACAATCATGACTCTATCTCTTCTCTATATGCATTCTTTAGCATTCAAATGGGCAACATCCATCTTTCCCATTTATTGTAAGCTAATAACTTTCTTGTTTTTGGAGAAATTAAGAAACCATAATAGATGAGCTTTAAGGATATCTTATCCCATTGTAAAGATTTAAGTGGTTGTGCAATTAACACCTATAAAGCACCATCACCTTCTTACAAAACTCTCAAGGCCAACATTTAATCTTTGAGATGCTTCATATCCCAAACACCTCTAAAACTTCCACTAACCAGGGATTACTTGTTTCCCCATTCATGATTCATGTTGCAAATTTCAATCCTCTCACGAGTATACTTACATTGTTATTTGATGGATGGAAAGCCAAATCATTGTCATATGTGGGAAGTTTGAAATTCTAAAAATTTACAATCTTAAACAACATTGCATATTGGATATGAGGTGCCATAAAACTTAAAAGCCATTGTAAACTCATTTCCAAAGTGTTGAAGATTCTTATACAATGGTAATACCTCTGCTAAAACCATTCACCTAGTTTCTTGGGCAATCATTTGCATGCCTAAGAAGCTGGGTGACATTATACTACATTACATTCTCACACTTATATTTGCATTTTCCTGCTCCCTTGTCTGGCGTTGCCTACATACAAAAAGTTTGCTTGTTAAACGATTTAATAAATATTGTTATTTATGGGACTCCAGAGTTCCGAAAGGATCAGTTACCTGGGTTAACATTAGTCAAACTATGCAATGAGACCTAATATTACTTATAAAGTGAATGATGGTGGAAGGATATCCTAGCATTGAAATCATTAAGTGCTGGGAAAGGATTAGTTGACTGTACCCTGAGTATTATACTAATATTTACTACCATTTAGTAGTATCTCATTCTGAATTTTTTGAAATTGGTGTGTTGATGAACTTGGATTCCGTCCCAACTCACATCTCTAGTACTATTAGGGGTGAAAATCTTAGCTGATGTTCCTTTTGAGGATATATTTTAGTGTGGTCACTCCAAACCAAGATTCAAAAATGTTATTTTGGAGTTTTATTTTAACTTTAGAATGGTAAATCGGTGGAATTTTATTTTCCATAAGTACTATACCATAAGATATTCTTCCTAAACATGGATTGCTAAAATTCATGGGCTTAAAATGGTGGTAAGATCTGAAATACTTTATGGTCTAGAATGTTGGCTAGTAATAGTGAAGCATAATATTAAGTTAAGTGTTGAAGAGAAGTGGATGCTTAGGTGGATAAGTAATTTTTCTCTTAGAGACAAGATACGAAATCAGCATATACATGATAAGGTTGGAGTAGCTCCAGTGGATGATAAGATTAGAGAGTATCCTTTAAAGGTTTGGTCACATAAAATGATGACCTTTCGATAACTCGATTGGGAAACTAGATGTATTAGTATGTTGCACTAATTCATCCACACACTTTTATTGCCCAATATACAATGAGTGTATGATGATGGCACACAACTATCCATACAAACTTGTAAAATCATCACTATTACACAGTATTTAATTTTTTTTTTATTTAAACCTCATTGTTTGGTTGCAAGAATTTATAGTCCAAGTGTGTTATGGATATTAAAAACTATAAAAGTTTTATGTATAATCAAATGTTGCTAGAATGCAAGACATTAATAGATAAAATTTTGAACATAGTGTGTTATTTAATTTAGGCACGCTATCAATTACCTTCATCTATATCATAGGGTAGGTTTTGGTGGTATGACAGCAATAAAAATAGATTTTTTGTGTTAACGTATGCTTCTTGCACTACATAGATAATTTTTCATAGATTGCAAGTCATCAATATAATGCACCAAGGTTTAAATAAATTCTAAGAAAAAAGATAGCAACCAAGTGGATAACTTGATAGAGGAGTAATGTCCGTAAGACATAAGAGAATACGAAAATTCATATACTAAATGAGTTAGGAGACTGAGATAGCAGATTGGCCGAAATCAACCTGCACATACATAAGCCGACCATGAGAGCAAAGATACATATTCCTCTTAAAGTGTTTGTAAAAATGTTTTTGATACATTTTATTTCTTTTGATTTATAAGAACTATTGAATTTTAACTACGTTATGATAATTGTAGAATTTTATGAAATTTAGTTTATTTCAGCTATTTGAATGTTAATGTTGGATTATTATTGGCTTTTCTTACTACATTTGATTACTAATTTTAAACAGTTTGGGTATGTACTACTAGAAATCTCAATAACAGATATTAAGATTTACTTTTTATTTATGCTAGAAGTTTCCAACAGATTTGCGGTAGAGTGTCGCAAACGTTGTTATGATGATCTAGTATCGTTGTTTGCGACAGAAATATCCGTTACAAGTGGCGGCGGCTTTCCGACAGATTATCTGTCATACTTTACAACGGATATTCCGCCACAATTTGCTGCAGAGTTTCTGTCATAGATTTGCCATAAATTCGTGGGAAAATCGGTCACAAACACTATTGTGATGTGGGTTTTAACGGAGGAATCAAATTCGCTGTAAATCAGGCGCAAACAAGTATTTGCAACGTATTTTTCTTATTTTGCGGCGGATTATTCCTCCGCAAAAAACTGAATTCCCTGTGGTGTAAGTTTCAATCACTTGATAAGTTCAAGATATGGATATTAAGTAAAACAACTTGCTCTTCATTTTAGTTTGTTGCATTGTATATTTCATCTGACATGAAAGGAATTGTAGAAAATTTAGAAATAATGTGAACTAACAAACAACTTTATTTCGAATAATCTCCAATGCAATTCGAAACAAATTTATCCCATTGTTGGTTCATTAGTTTCTACAATTGGAACTCGTTTTTAAAATCAACTTCTTAGCTGGGCTTAAAGGATGGAAGATCTCCTTTCGGTATTGATTTTGGCCGTTGGATTTTGCATCCTTTGGACGACCCTCTAGCAATCGATGATTACACTCGCAACTCATTCTTATATTCATATGTTGTTCTCCGAGCCAAGGCTGGTTATGGATGCCTCTCGTTATATTTCTAACTGCGATGGTCAATGATGATTTTGATACATTCTAAATCCTGCTGTCTTAACTCTTTTTCTTGTGTTTTTTCTTGGGAGATTAGCTTGGTTTTCTTTGAAATATTAAAATATTTTTGCTGCATCACTTAATGTCTTTGCTTTAATGAGTTTTTTTTTTAATGTTCATATAACATTGTAATTATATTCTTATAACGATGAACGTACTTTGCCTTCAATTTTCTCAAGGACAAAAAAGTTTTTTTGATTGTTCAGTCCCATCATCCTCCCACCGAAACCAATAGATTAACCTGAAGAAACTATAACAGAAGTCTCCGAAGCCTTCGCCTAAAACAACAGCAGCAAGAGCGTGAGCAGCAAAATCAACCGCCTAAGACCAACGCAAAATTACTGATTATAACGAAACTGCTAGGGAAACCCTTTAACGATTCCCTTCAAACAAGTTCTTCAACGAAACTCTTAAACCTAATCACTCTTTTGGCTGGATATCCAAAAAATAAATAAATAAATAAACAAGAAGCTGCAGACTTAGATTGGAGCTATGATAAAGAGTGGGAAAAAAAGAAAGCCCGAAACAGAGAGCACACAGATAATTCAAACGGTGAAGTATCCAGCAACAACTCCACTCACATTATAATACATAGATCAAACAAAACAAATTACATGATAACGCTGCCTACGCGGACTAAACAACCCAAGAACTTTTTCTTACAGCTCAGCACTCAATAACAGGATAAACCTAACACATTCACTTTTCATATACATAAAACAGATACAAACATCCCAACAGAGATCTCATACCAATAAAGTCTAGAAATATAAACTTTGATATTGACAAAGAAATCCTCCTCATCTATTCAGTCTACCAACCATTCACTCACAGCTCTTGTACTCCATCTACCTCTTATGTGTTCGTTTTGGGTCCACTGAGAGCTTAGCAGATCTCACACCTCATAAGGAGAACTGTGACTCTTTGCCAACCTTCCGCCTCCACACCCTCGCTCGTATGCATCAGAGGAAGATTTCCTCCGAAACCGGTTCCATTCCTTCCCATCTGCTTAGATTCCATAAAAGCAAAAGACAAACAATAGGAAGCCATGAGAAGTTTTCATGAAAAGATCTGTGGACACTAGAGCTGTAGCATTGATTTTTTGTACAATGAAAGCTTATCAAATCATAAAAAACCTAAAATTTAGAAACCAGATAGTATGTTTCGCTTTAATTTATCCGCAGGATCATATTTTTAGGCTTCAATTGTGCAGGTTTTAGGGTTAAACCTTGCCAAATGGAATTATGAGGCTTCTTAAAAATAATTTAAAGATTTTGTGAGCATTCAAAAGCTGTACTTGAGATATTAATATGTTAAAGTAAACAGGTAATAAATCGTCTTACATGCTTCAAATAATTTTTATAATTTATTTTGAATTAAAAGTATTAACAATAAAAAAATTCTCTGGATATAATCATCTTAAAATTTGGTCAAACAAGATTTACAAGTTTCATTAAATCCTACTTTTCTTACATGCTTTTTGTACCGAAGGGGCCATAAAAAGTTGTTCTCCAGATAGATAAAAGAAAACTATCTGAAGGAGGAAAGAGAACATTGATCTTAGTACTCCAAGAGATGGGCAATGATCCACTATTCAGAACCAGAAGACCTACGGGTGTTTTAGTAAAATCATAGTCCGGATATAGAATACCTCGAAAGGGAGACAGAGGAGGAGTCGAATCGGCCGGTGACGCCGGCGGTGTCCCGCCCACCGGCGAAGGGCATCCCGCCGGCCTCTTGATCATAATACTTCTTGTCACCCGCGGCTCCTCTTCCTGCAAGTCATCGCTAAACGTCCTAGAAATTCCTCCGCCCACGATCTCGTCTGCCGCCGGCCAAAACCCCAATAAGAGTATTAAAACCAACGAATTCGATCAAAAACTAAAATTGAAAAGAACAGCAAGCTTAGGGTTAGGGTTGTGGCCTGCCTTTCCCAGAATTGATTTGGAGGGAAAAGGATGCGTGCTTCCGCAGGCGGCCGAGGCCAATCTCCGGTCGAGGCCCAGCGAGGGTGTCGTCCCAAAGCTTGTCGAGCAGGCCCATGGTGTTCCCCTCTAATTACCAAAACGCCACTGAACCAGGCGAGAAATTCGATTGTCGTACAGATTGATTTGTTGTTGGAAGGGAGATATTTATAGACAGGAATGGGGCGTTCCAAGATCAAGCACCTCACGTTAGTTCGCTGATCATTTCCGTTAATCTGGATCAGAAGTGACGTGGCAGTGGATAAAGAAATCACCGGAACCAGATAAGGTTGGACTTTAGGGAAATCCACTACGAGAAACGGATAGCTCTGCGGGATGGGATTTTTATTTGTTCCGGTGCAAGGACCTAGAGGAAGGTTCGGTTTTGTCTAAAAAAGTGCAAATACCGAGTTTTTTGAAAAAATACCGAGTTTTTTGAAAAACTCGGTATTTGCACTTTTTGACCTATTTTTGCCTAAAACCGAACCTTCCTCTACATCCAGTGAAAGGACCTAATAATTGCTCCTGCGGGATGACAAGCTTTGGGAGGGTTTTTTTTTGGATGACCTTGGCTGCTCGATTTTTTCCCTTACTACCTTCTTGATGAATCCTTTGATTTTTGTCGTATGAGGATAGATATTTTGTTTGGGAGATTTGCATACATATCACCTTATATTATTCTATTTACATATTTAATACTTAAAATTTTAATATTACATACATTTCACTCATAGTTTATTTCATATCAAATATGAGTGGTAGAAATAAAATATATGAGTGGTAGGAAAGAAATATAAGTAATATATTTGATATTAAAATAAAATAGGATGGTTTGGATGTAATATTAAAATTTTGAGTGTTAGATATGTAAATATGATGTTATAAAGTGGTATGTGTATAAATTTCCCATTTTGTGTTTCTTCTGTTGTTTTATGGATTCTTTTTTTTTATTTTACTTGTCTAAAATAAGATTTGCATTCTTGTCCGATTTCGTTTTTTTTCCCATCAGGAATGAAAGCTTGGAATTCTTTATTGACATCTCATCAATCTTCATCCAAATCTTTTTCAGTTTCTTTTATATCTTCTTCTAATAATCTTGCTAATTTCTCTGAATGTAATGTCTCTGTAGCCTCTGAAAAATGGGGTCTAATGCTGGTAAGTTACTCGTTTAGTAATAGGCCATATTTTGAAGCTTTAAGATCTATTATGCAAAATGTTTATAAATTGAAAGGTTGTTTTGCTCTACTTGCTTTGAATGAGGTTTTTTTTTTTTAAGAAGTTTCCATTTCCAGAAGATTATGATCCTGTTTGGTCGGGTTGCACATGTTTTTTTTTATAAACCATTTATTATCCCGAAATGGTCCCATCTTTTTCATCCAAAATGCGAAGAGTATACGTCCATTCCTTTAAGAATTAAATTTCTTAATCCTCCTTTAGTTTGTTGAATGCCGAAAGACATTTCAAAAGTAGCAAGTCTCATTGGGGTTTCGATTGCTATTTATTCTTTAACAACAGAGCAAACTAGGCTTACTTTTGCTAGGGTTTGTATTTTAGTTTCTAAGGATTCTGATCTTCATGATGAAGATAATATTTCAATTGTTGGAAACATTTTTCCTCTTCAGGTTGTTTGTGATTTAAAGTCCACTCCCTGTCAAGGTTGTGGATCTATTGTTCATCCCTCAATGTTATGCCTTTCCCAGCCGCAGGAGGTTAGTGAAAAGCTTGTTGATATTCAGAAACCTATTAGGAGATGAATTAAAAGAAGGAAGGATTGGAATGTTGTTTCACACTATGTAAGGCATTCTTCTTTAAAAAAATCCTCAAAATTTTTAGGTGCGGAAGGTGGATCAATGCTCATATGATCCTTCTTTATTTTCTTATTATTTATTAGTTTCTAACGAGGCATCTATTTCTGATATTAATGTTAATGCTAATTTGTCTAAAGTTGCTAGTAGCTCTCCAAAGAATTTGATTCTTTATTAAGAAAATGTGATGGTTGTGGATAGCTCGGAAATTTTGGTTGTTTCCTCTTTGAACGAGACATTACCTAATTTAAATTTTCCTTCTAAAGTGATTGCTTCTAATCTAATTTTAAAGATTAATAATTGTGATTCTAAGGTTTTTTTTTTTGAAGAAATATTCTTTTGATATTTCTAATTCTCATAATAAGTTTTATGTGCTGGATTCCCTTAATAATGATCTCTCTAAGGATGTAAATATTTCTTTATAGAGGGTTCCTTCCTCCGATATTTCTATTATGGTTCAATCTGATTTTAAAGTTCCAATTCCTACTAGATGTAAAGCAGACAGGAAGGCCTCTACTTTGAATATTAAACATTATTCACTTTTCCTTTAGTTTATTTCCTGGAATGACAAAGGCTTTAAACGTTTGGATAAAGTTAATGCTTAAGTTCATCTTGTTAAAAAGTTTAAGGCTGATTTTTGTTGTATTTATGAAGCCAAAGTCAATATTGATCTTGTTGGTAATTCTTGGTTTGACACGAGACACAGTATTTTCAGCAAGAAGTTTGTTGTAATAATTTTAGGTTTTCAATGACTGGAAGAATTTGGTTAAAGTCAAATACTTCTTCTATTTATTTTAATTTTATTTTTATTAATAGTCATCTTATTTATTGGATTATCAAGTTTGGCTCTGATTCCTTTTATATTATGGCTATATATGCATCTAATTCAACTACAGATAGAGTTAATATTTTGAATGATATTCTTAATCTCTCTTCTAATTTTTCTTCACCATGAATTCTGCTTGGTGATTTTATTTGTTGTCATTTTGCCAATGAAATATCTTGTAGGTAGTACTCTTTTTTATAGTAATTTTGAAACTTTCAATCATTGTATTTTTAATTCTAGGCATATGGAGCTTCCATTTATTTGTAATATTTATACTTAGTTCAATAAACAATATAATATTCCTATTCATATAAAATTAGAAAGGGTTTTTGTTAATAACTTTTTGTTGAATGATTATCCATCTTCTTATTATGGTGTTTTTTATTTTTTATTTTTTACTTTTTTTTATCATCTTCTTATTATGTTGTTGATAATCCTCTTTACTCTAATCACTCCCCTATTATTGTTTTTAACAGTAATAGTTTCTCAACAAGTTATAAATTTTTTTTTATTAAATATTATTAGTGAAAAATAGCTGGTTTCTCGGAGTTGCTTATTAAGGATTTTTCAAAACCTTCGATTGGTAATACTATTAACAAACTTTATGGTAAGTTTCGTTTGCTTAAAGCTTTCATTAAATAGCAAGATTGGGCTTCCTTTAAGCATATCTTTTCTTTTATTGAGAATCTTAAGAAGCTGCAGAGAGATTTATGCTGTATTTTACCGATGGACCAACATAATCAGAATATTAATTTAGCTCTTATTAATGTTAATTCTCTAATATGCATCTTTCTCTTTGGTCTTCTTGGATTTATTAGCAGGCTAAAAAGAAATGGGCGTCCTATGGAGAAGATGATAAAGGGTTTCTTTATTTTTAAATTAGATCAAGATAATATTACAATAAGATTCATGGTATTTCTTCTACTAAAGGGATTGTTACGGATCCTATTGTTATTAGCAATACTATTGTGAAACATTTTAAAACTATATTTAATTCTCATATTCCGGCTAATTCTACTTCTTTCAATATTCCTCCTGGTAATGTTATTCCAGATTGTTTAAAAGCTACTTTGATTCACTCAGTTTTGGTAGAAGAAACTAAAAAGATTGTTTTTAATTGCCTTAGAATTTCTTCCGTGTAACTTAATGGTTATACTTTTAAATTCTTTAAGACTACTTGGGAGGTTGTTGGTCCTACCCTGTGTAAAGCTATTCTTTATTATTTCAATTTTGGTTTTATGCTGAGAGCTCTGAAAGCTTCTGCTATTTCACTTATTCCAAAAAAGAATAATTCTACTAATATCACAGATTTTAGGCCTATTTCTTTATGAAATATTTTTTATAAAATTGTGGCTAAAATTTTGACTAACAGGTTAAAGAGTATTATGCCTTTTATTATTCAGAAAATCCAATATGGTTTTATTAAGAAGAGGATCTCAACGAATAATATCATTCTTGTAGCTGAACTTCTTAAAGATTTTAATCACTCTTATATGAATAAGTTTTTATACTAAAATTCATATTCATAAAGTTTTTGATATGGCCTATAGAGATTTTTTAGTATCTAGGATGATTCAAAAAAATCTTCCCTCATATTTTCATCTCTTGGATTAGAGAATGAGGATGTTTATTTTTTTGTTATTCCCAATGGCTATATGCATGGGTTTTTTAATTCTTCTTCATGTATTCAGCAAGGTTGCTCGCTTTTTTCCTTATCTTTTTTGTGTTGTTATGGATGCTCTATCTCATATTTTGGATGATTGTTCTCATAATAACGGCTTTGAGGGGATTAAGGTTGGTGATAATCTTAATTCTCATCTTCTTTATGTGAATGATATTCTCATTTTTTGGAAAGCTTCGTTGGAGAATGTTAGAAAGCTTAATAATATTATTTCTCATCTTAGCTATGGTAGTGAGAAAAACTCTGAGATTTTCTAGTGAGAGAAAAATCTTTTTTCAAATTTCTTCTTCGTGGTTTTTCCACTTACGCTATTCATGACGGCGACGAATAACCAGCCGCTGTCGGATGATCAAGAGCCTCTTGCTGGTGCATCATCAGTCAATCATCCACCTTCATCCATCAAATCTTTAATTGTTATGGGTAATGTTGAAGTTCTTAAAGATAGAAGACTCAACAAAGGAGATATTCATTAAGACTTAAGGAACTTCCAAAAAACCTTTGATCATCAGACAAGGTTACTGTTCAAATGTTCACCAAGAGAAAATTCAAGTTTCTATAGTTGAAGGAAAGGGAAAGAAGTTAGAAGCAATTATGAAGACATATGATGTACTTGAAATAGAAAATTGGATTAATTCAATTTCATTCAGATTTTTTGATCATGAAGTCTCTACTTCATTGGATTTGGTTCTAAAAGTCACCAAATTTGTTGGAAATAGTGAAGGATCGTTTAATCATAATTTGTATGTTAATTTTTCAAATCCTAAAGTTACAAATATAAATTCATCAAATCCTATTATATTGAATGAGAAAGTTGCATATCAGCTAAATGAAGAATTTAG